GTAGGGGGTGATGTTGCTGTAGTCGAACGGTGAGACGGACGTGTAGTTCAGTTTTGGGCACGCGTACGGTGCCGCAGGGATTATATATAAGGGTAGTAGTACCTCTCCGGGCTCTTCTTGTATACCTTTTTCTTGCTACTACGTGTGCGTGTTCTTTAGATCCTCAGATGGCTCTAGCACTTTCGTGACCACGGGCCGAGAGTCTTTGCTAGATTTTGGCATTTAGCAACTGGCATACGGTNGATTATATATAGGTGTAGTAGACTAGTACCTCTTCGGGCTCTTGTACACCTTTTTCTTGCTACGTGTGCGTGTTCTTTAGATCCTCAGATGGCTCTAGCACTTTCGTGACCACAGGCCGAGAGTCTTTGCTAGATTTTGGCATTTAGCAACTGGCATACGGTTTAATGTGAAGTCAACAACAACAACAACAACAACAACAACAACAACATTGTTGCTGGCGTCCTCCGCTGCTTGGCGGGCCTCCGCTGCTTAGCGGGCCTCCGCTGCTTGGCGGGCTTCATCTTCGCGCCTGGTAGCCACCTTGACCCTGCTCTCCATCGCCGCAAAGCGATACTCCTAAACCAAGCTCGACCGCGAATCTCGCAGGCGACGTGTCATACGCTAGCGTGATCGATAATTCGGTTGACCCAGTTCTATGTGCTTGGAGTTTAGAGCGGGTGGTCCATGACGGGGCGTGGATGGGTAAAAACGTGTTGGGAAACGTGTTGTATCCGTGTTGTAATCGTGTTGTATTCATCGGGGGCGTGCTTGAGCTCGTCATTCCATCACGGCATCAAGTTACGCATACCCAAAACGAATCTCCATGAATCTCCACCAATCTACCACACTCCCAAGGAAAACATGAAGAAACTTCTTGTTCCTCCGTAGTTCGTCACTGCAATACCCGCATATGTATACGCAATATTCCACCCGCATGCTATGCTACGAGTATATCGAATTAATGTCCCCCGAAGTGGTACATAGATCGATCTGGATTTCACTGAATCATGATTGTATGCCGTGCTCTTGACCACGTACTGCAAGGACCCGAGAGATGGCACCGGGTGCGATCGAAACTGTACTGTTTCTTCTCGACTCCGCGAGAAGCACATCCGGCGCTTCTACCCTCGCCCGGAATACTGGCGGTCAACCTGGGGGAAGTGGGTACTGAAGCTGTGCGAGCTGAATGCTGCGGAGGATGGACAGGTATTGAATTTTCTTTTTCGTGCTCTTTTTCGAGATCCAACACGCATGGTGGAGTGATGCCGACAAGTGAATCAGAAACCGGCTGGACAGCTGAGAGCACTATGTAGACACGCCAAGTCCTCCAGTGCAAGAACATTTGGTGTAAAGACGTTCTGTCGAAGAATTATACCACGAAGGGAACAATACAGACAGTTCGTGAGCAAGAGAGACAGGACAAAAAGGCCTTCTTTGGTCAAGTTCTTTATGTGCGAGCTCGTGCCAGTGGTTGAATAAGCCTGGGAGTGAATCAGTTCACTCCAAACGTGCTTTGGATCTCGAAACGAGAACGTACTTTCACAATACATGAAAATGCACCGTGGTTGATTCACAGTTTTTTGTGTTGTTCCCGTTGTTTTTCAGTTGCTCCCAATTCGACAAATGCTTGTACACGTCATGTGGCCTGCTTTCGTATGTTTCTTTACTGCATACCGACCCGTAGACGATGTTCTCATGTAGGGTTTCGCCTCGAGCATTATTCCGATATTTCTTTGGAGAGGTTCCAGCGTTCGCGAAAGGTAGCAAAACCACGTACACGCATGTGTATGGTTCGCAGAAACGACGTGGCTAGGAATGGGGGAGATTTGTGCTGTGAGATTCCCGAGTTTGTTTCTACAATCAACAATAGACATATGGGCATCGCACGAATCGGTGCTATGATGGAGCAAGCGAGCGAGCAGCCACTCCCTCACAGTTCGGCTTCAAATTCCATTCACTCATTCATTCAAATTCCATTCACTACCTTCGCGAGTCTTTCGTATCTTGATTCCAACATTCACAAGGACGAACCACATACAGAGACAGCAGCAGTGCCAATACATTGTATTCCCACCCGAGAGCGAGCGTGCAGAAAAGTCCCGTTCTTAAGAATCTCTAGAATCGGCCGAGGCTGGGGTTCATAGTTCCTACGGTAGGATCATGTGACGAATGGCCGCAAAAGAGGTTTTTCGTGTGGGGGTGCTCAACCGAGCTCATAAATGGTGCCCAAGCTCTTAGCATTTGAATATTACTGTGTACAGTAGTCTCCATTTCTTAAATGTTAAGTACTTAAAAGCGGGCCCTTTCGTCAATGCTAAGTGTGTCAGTAAGCGTACGCCCTCACGACTATGAGTACACCCACAAACGCCCCTCGCGCGAGTTTGCGATGTACTTTGCGGTATTGTAGTATTGCGTGGTGTGTGCCGTAGCGACGCGAGGTTCGCAACCAGATTGAAAATTTCCCTTTCTACCGCTCTGTTTCCGAGATAAATCGCATGTGGTGGAGTGAATACCGACAAGTGAATCAGAACTAGGCTGGGCAGCTGATACGCTGAGCTGAAACGCCAGTTCATTTGGTGTAAGTTCATTTAGTGAAAAGAATGCGGCATCGAGGACACAGAGAGAATGTGAGAGACACCTTGTGAGCGAGGGAGATGAAGAGATGTGGCAGAAGGGGGTTTTCGGTGAAGGCCTTTGCGCTCGCGCAAGTGGTTAATCGAGCCTGGGAGTGAATCAGTTCACTCCACACGTGGTGTGGATCGCAATACGAGAACCAAAATTCGCGATATATGAATATGCTCCCATTCACAACACATTACAGTGCGCAGCGCCGGTCAAGGGATTCTTCTCAACATCAGTAATGCCCCACAGACTTTTGCGCGCCGAAATATGCGTGCGACAGCTTTAACTTAACCACTTCGGTGGAAAGCGGATTGCTGTTCGATACGGTGTCGGGAGTGCTGAGGGGGGAGGGCTTGGCCCTTGTGGTTGCAGGTGGCAGGGAAGTAGGAACAGGGGGTGGCAGTGTCGGGGGTCTGGGGGAACATGGGCTTCAATGGGGGTTGCCTCAGAAAGAGCAAGACGGCGGATGTTTCTCTCTTGGTGTGACCGGTGGCAATATCGATCAGCAATGCCGCACAGACTTTTGCGCGCCGAAATACGCGTGTGACAGCTTTAACCTAACCACTTCGGTGGAAAGCGGATTTCTGTTCGATACGGTGTCGGGAGTGCTGAAGGGGGGAGGGCTTGGCCCTTGTGGTTGCAGGTGGTAAGGAAGTGGGAACAGGGGGTGGCAGTGTCGGGGGTCTGGGGGAACATGGGCTTGAGTGGGGGGTGTCTCAGAAAGAGCAACACGGCGGGTGTTTCTCTGTTGGTGTGACCGGTGGCAGTATCGATCAGCAATGCCGCAAAGACGTTTGTGCGCCGAAATATGGGTGCGACAGCTTTAACCTAACCACTTCGGTGGAAAGCGGATTTCTGTTCGATACGGTGTCGGGAGTGCTGAAGGGGGGAGGGCTTGGCCCTTGTGGTTGCAGGTGGTAAGGAAGTGGGAACAGGGGGTGGCAGTGTCGGGGGTCTGGGGGAACATGGGCTTGAGTGGGGGGTGTCTCAGAAAGAGCAACACGGCGGGTGTTTCTCTGTTGGTGTGACCGGTGGCAGTATCGATCAGCAATGCCGCAAAGACGTTTGTGCGCCGAAATATGGGTGCGACAGCTTTAACCTAACCACTTCGGTGGAAAGCGGATTTCTGTTCGATACGGTGTCAGGGGTACCAGGGAAGACGGGGCCGAGTTTTGTTTGATTTCGGGTGGATGAGGTTGGGGTTTCGTTCGTTTTTCTCCATCTAAGGTTCGTGCCTAGAGTTCAGCTGTAGTGTTTCGACCAAAGTTGTGTTGACTTTGAGGCAAACATTCCTAGCTATTGGGCATCGAGTGAATTTGGCTTGGCATGACGGCCTTTCTTTACGATCGAATTTTTATGTATGTCTGCATTTATCTGCAATTGTCGGAGTGCAAACAAAATAAATATAAAAAACGGAAACGATGCTATCTAGCTGCTCCTAATTCGACAAGTGCTCGAAAGACATCATGGCGGCCTGCTTTCGCGGGTGCCCTCCTGCATTCCTGTAGACGATGTACCTTTTCTGATGTAGGGTGTCGCCTCTAGGGTATTTCGATATTTCTTCAAAGGAGGTTCTAGCATTGGCGAAGGTAGCAAAAGCACGCACATACATATCGTTCACGTGTGTGGTTCGTAGGAAGAGCGTCGCCAGGGATGGGGAAGATGCGTCAGGTCTCAACCTTGTTTCTAAATTCAACCGCAACAGACTTGGGCATCGAACGAACTGGTCCTAGATGGAGCGAGCGAGCCAGCGAGCAGCCCCTCCCGGGCCGCACCGTCCGGCTGCCAATTATATCCACCTATTCATTCGATTACGTTCGAGCGTCGGCGGTATCACATCTTGATTCTATTGTATCACACAATTGGCGAAACATTTGTATGCAGCACACAGTACGATAAAAATGTATTTTGCCCCTCCCTCGGTGGCTACCATCAGGGTTGGGTTTCCGTTGCTTGGGAATGACGTTGAATTACAAACCGATCACTTCGTGATCTCGGCAACCAGGTTTTTCCGCTTCTTTTATTGCCTCTGCTATGTACATTTATTATTGGCGGTAACCGTAACGGTGGTCGAGTAGATTACGTTGTGCGGGGTCGAGAACCCTCACTCCTCGCAAAGGGAATGATCGGACCACGTTGTGATGAATTGGTCAAGCACCCTCGAGGTAGTTTCTCAGTGCTTACAACTGTCTCTGGAAGTGAAAACACCAGAAAAAATATGTCAAAAGCCGCTGTCATCCGTACGCAAGGAAGTAAGCACAAGCTGCCGAACAATCTTAGCCGGATGAAGCGCAACCCTCATGCGACTCGCCAAATACCTCACGGTACTTCGCGCTTGGTGATGTGAGAGCCTGGTCCGCCGTGCTCCGTCCCGGCTTTGCAGGGATGCGAGGCCAATCGTCTAACGACTACGGCATGCGCGAATATGAATACACCCCCCCGGCCGGGGCAGGAGCGTTCTGCAAGGTCGGTAATGGTCGTTCTTATTCACGCCTTTGTCAAGCTCGGTCATCTTGATTGCTTCGTAGAAAATACACCGAGGCTGCTCGCGTGGGGCAAAGAAGGCGGCGTATTGGGCGATCTTCCGTGTCCTTTCGTGGTTGGCTAGGTGTCTAGGAGTGCAATATATGCTTCTGATTCTGCGAAGAAGACGTACATTGCATGCGTGTCGTGCCGCGTGTGGTGATGCTCGGGAAACTGTGCCGCCGCCACTCACAATTCACTCATTGGGATTCCAACTCGGCATTCTATAGCGAGGTTTGTGCGAGCGAAGGCAGCTGCTCGCAGGACATTCTGTTTGCGCCCGATCACGTTGAAGCATCATCAGTGCTGGAGCACAGGGACTGCTAAACGTACGAGTGGACAACACTGCCAGCTACTACCTGTTAAGACGTTTTGTTCCGGGGAGCTAGTGTTGTCGTCTTTGCCGGCGGGGCGAAGACCAAGAATCGGGGCGACGGAGTCCATACGCCGTTTTCGGAGAAGAAGCGTCGACCACTTTGGTACGTGCGATGTGACGTTGCGTGTGGTTCCACAGCAGAATAAGAAAGCGCTAGCCGACAGCGGTCAGCGCACAGCAGTGATACGTATCGCATAGGGGGGCATAGGCCAGACGGGCACAAATGCCATGTGTTGGCAGGCGGGTGTGCATATGATGTGTCGCTATTCTTGGGGGCTTGCTCGAGCAGGGCGATGCCTAGCTGATGATGATGCGAATGCGGCGCGTGGGCTGGTGTGCATGGAGCGACGCAGTTTCAATCACAAGAGTGACAAACCAAGGGTGCAATGCGCGACAGAGGATATCATACGAGTATGCCAGACACAACCGAACCCCCTTTGCGTGCGAAGAGGGCGTTACAACGACCGCTAGGAGCGGCGCTAGGAGCGGACCAGTTTGGTTTGTTTGTTTTGTGTACAAACTTCAACGCGTGTGTCGGCATACGCGGCCAAGCGGAGAAGTACAGAATATACGTCGCAGGGCGGATGTAATCTTTAGATTCCGGTACAGCAGTCTCGGAGACTGCTGTGGTGTGGTTGGGCTAACACAACTCACAATTACCAGACAAGGCACAAGTTTGAGTGCAG